TTCACATTGAAAAAATATCTTGTTAAATGGCGATTAAGACATTTAATACTTTTTAATGGCCTTAATTTTCGCAAAATTGATTTATTACCTTTTTAGACTTTTTAAGACCCCGCGGACATCCTGGGGCAGAAACCTTAAACCGCGGGTTTAAACCTTTTTCTATACAGTCTATGGTTTAAACGGGCTCTCTGGGAGCAAACGGTGAATATCGGCCATAGAGAAGCTTAAAGCGGGACCGGTGGATTAATATCAGACACAGAAACATGTGTGGAAGCGAACTTTGTACCGAAGGACGTCAACGATCAACAAATGTTTGGCTGCGTTCAGACTTCTATAAAATATTTTAACGTTACTCACTCAGAAGCGTGTTTTCAACAGAAGCTGTCGGTCTCCTCTCATTCTGCAGGTTAGTCCGATACAAACTGTTGTTGTTGACCTGAACAGGTAAATCAGGAAGTGTCCGCGTCATCACCACGTCACCGGCGGGAGAAGAGAGGGGATGTGTTTTTAAACTGGGAGGTTCCCTTCACACAAAGCAAGCTAACATTGATTCAACGTTGACTCAGTGTTGGTCTGCTAGCTGTTCACTTCAGATCAGACACACAGTAATGCAGCACAGGATAAAAACATGAAGCACCTGCTGTGTTCTAAGCTGGAAGGCTCCCATGATATTCAAATACTAGCTAACTGTATATAAGTAGTTCAAACTACCTATATAAACACTGGCTAACTGTATATAAGTAGTTCAAACTACCTATATAAACACTAGCTAACTGTATATAAAGTAGTTCAAACTACGTATATAAACACTAGCTAATTGTATATAAAGTAGTTCAAACTACCTATACAAACACTAGCTAACTGTATATAAAGTAGTTCAAACTACCTATATAAACACTAGCTAACTGTATATAAAGTAGTTCAAACTACTATATAAACACTAGCTAATGTATATAAAGTAGTTCAAACTACGTATATAAACACTAGCTAATTGTATATAAAGTAGTTCAAACTACCTATATAAACACTAGCTAACTGTATATAAAGTAGTTCAAACTACCTATATAAACACTAGCCTAGCTAAATATATACATTAGTTCAAACTAGCTATATGAATACTAACCAAATGTATATAAAGTAGTTCAAACTACCTATATAAACACTAGCCTAGCTAAATATATACATTAGTTCAAACTAGCTATATATTAGTCTAGCTAATTGTATATAAAGTAGATCAAACTACCTGTGATGGACTGGCGACCTATCCAGGGTGTACCCCGCCTCAGCTGGGATTGGCTCCAGGCCCTGTACGCAGGATAAGCGGTTGACGATGGATGGTTGAATGGATGGTAGTTCAGACTAGCTATTTAAATACTAGCCTAGCAAACTGTTTATAAAGTAGATCAAACTACATATATAAATACTAACCAAATGTATATAAATACTAGCCTAGCAAACTGCCAACATTTCAATGTAGTTTGGAGTGAGATTCGGTATCATTTTAGGCCTTCTGTGTCATATCCCACTGCAGGGGTCGGGGTCATCACTCTTTAATATGCATGCTACATCCACATGTATGTGCAGATGAAAAGCCAAGTCAATAATCATGGTCAGATCAGTGTGATCAGGATACTTGCCAACCTTATGACATGATAGCTTTAATGTCGACCAAACCATGTATTGGGGAGTCCTACCACCAGAATATATGTCTCAAAACCAGAGACTGTATTTATTTTATTTCTCGAGAATGTTTGGAATAGGCCTATTATAGGCTAGTTTTGGGTCCTCCCCCAGCAAATGTTTAGCATTAAACACTTAATTTCCTGCATTCTGGTGAAATTTTCTGCACCAATTTCTGCCTTTTCTGCATCACATCAGGCAGCAGGTGACAATTTAAAATATAAAATACAAATTAATTTTAATTCAGTTAGAAACTCCTGGACTGAATGTTAAAAACTTTCTGCATATCCATCCCACATAATTATGTAATCTGACATCTCCAGAAAGCTTTTTATGAGAATAATGTCATCATTAAATCACAATCTTCCCGCCCTATAATCTGCTGTTCATTACTTGTTCTGCTGATATGATCCCAGACAGACACAGAACCCGTTTGGGCCTGTATGGATGAGACCTGCGCAAAACTAAACTAACTGAAAACACTTCACCATAAATCCTCACATGGTAACTGCAGCAGCTCTGTGTAGCTCACATTACCAACAGAGCAGGCTGCGCTTCAGATTATACGTTTTTATATTGCAAAACTCTCCCAGCTACGTTACGCAATCACAAACTGTCTGCAACTCACTGCGCGAGAGCGGCTTCGCTTGATTCCTGTCACAGCTTCCGCCGGTGTCGCATCAGCTGGGTGGAGTATAATCAAAGTGACAAAATTTATGTAAAAATTGACTGGCGTGCGAAAAGTGTCAATTGCGTGAGCATTGAGCGTGAGAGTTGGCAGCTCTGATTTATAGTAGTTCAAACTAACAATATATGTTAAATACTAGCCTAGCTGTATATAAAGTAGTTAAAACTAGCTGTATAAATATAGCTTACTGTATATAAATACTAACTGTATATAAATACTAGCTAACTGTATATAAAGTACTTAAACTAGCTATATCAATACTACCTTACTGTATATTCTGGTACATATCTGGTAGAAATGAGTTTCCATATAAAGATTGTTTTGTGGTGTTTTTTTTGTTGCCCAACATTATCCCACAGAGGAAGGATTAGGCGGATCACCAGTCGCTAGATATCAGTTTTAAATGCAGCCGTATCAATCTCACTATTTAAAGTCTAGAAGAAAAAGAAATACAAAGAAGAGAATCAGCTGCCACACTCTGAATTTCAACACGTCTTTAATGTTTAACACAATCTTTTAGACTTGAAACACCACAGGATGCAGCTCACACAGAGTTTGGGTAGAACAGGTCCTGTCATGTGACACAGTCAGATCAGCTGGAGACTCACCTGGCTGCTGTTGAACAGGTGAGACTGCTGGCAGTGTTCCTGCGTCACTGATTTGACATTAAAATTACTTTTCCTCCAGACTCTGTTTCCTCGAAGCAGCTTCACTGAGTTACCTGCATCACACCTGGACTGATGTGAACTCACCTGGTCTGGGCTTCAGTGAAGCTGCATTTCGGAACAAAGTCCAGAAAGGAACAACAGGAATGTGGTTCGACTCAGACCAGTACCTGTATGGAAGTTCATTCATGACAAAACTATCGAGTCAAACTATGTGATAATTAAAACCTGAAAACACACACACCTCTTGGTAAGAACAGAACAAGTTGTCACCTGTTTTAAATTTTCCAAATACAGACTGCAGTATAATAGTGATACTGATCCAGATGTTGTCATGTTCCCGGAAACATTGGATTTTTATTCTTATGTGCAAAGAATAACTAGTGCACATGTTAGTATCTTGTTCCCACAAGTTATCGTGTGTGCAAAGTTAATTTATTGTTTAACAAGTTACTATATTGTTTGCACAAGAATATCACTTCTGTGCACACATTGGTATCTTGTATGAACATGACAAGATCCACAGTTATTATCTTGTATCTTGTTTGACAAGTAAATAAATGTTGTGCACGTGAGCTAGAATCTTGTTCAAAAGTGAAAACTTGGGAGAGAGTTGATACGTTATGGGCATAGGTGGATTTCTTGTTTGCACAAGTTCTGGTTTCGACAAGTGAATATCTTGTGCACAAGATTAAAGGAACGTAGGGTTTCCGTACATGTTGGTACCAGGTGAGTTTTGTCATGAGTAAATATCCACAGTGCGACTGGTCGTCTGCTGGATTCTCACTGAGGATCACAGATCTAGAAAACACAGAATCTCTGAAACGATAGAAAACATTGAAGGAAACATTCAGAAGTTTGTGAAACCTGCAGAGCAGCAGCTTGAATCCCGAGCTTGATACGAGATTAATCTTTTTCAATCACGACACCTGCAGGGTAAAATTTTTTGTGTTTTGTGTGTGATCCAAGGAGTTTCGACACGCCTCAAGTCGTTGAATTAGCACCAAGTGATCCTGTGGCGTGGCCAGGTCCTACAGCTTGACTGACAGGTGCTACGTCCAATCAGAAAGTCTCCAGCCGGTGAAGCGTTCTGCGGTTGGTTTCTAGTCCATGAGGGATGTGTTGGCACTGTTGCCGGGCAGATCTTTGAGTCCGTTCAGCAGAGCAATCACAGATAAAATATTTTCTATATATTTTGTTTTCTATTCAACATCATATCCACTTTTAACTGTAACCATCTTTATTCAGATTAAAAAATATCTTTTGGAAATGCAAAAGAAAAAAACATGATGTTTCATATGTACCTCTTCTACAGAGTTTGGATGATGGTTTTATGGCACTGTGACATTAATCACTCTTTGCTCACTCTTAACTTGATGTGGAACAACTCTTTACTTTTTTAAAACTTTGTTTTTTAACATCTTTTAGCAGCATGCTAATAAACATTAACTGGGACATCACGAGTAGCTAAAGCCTCAAACTTAGTCAAACATGCTGTAGAAGAGCTTTGAGCAGAGGCGAACAAACCCTCCTGTGCGCCGTGGAACCAGATTTTACGAGCGACCGACTTCTTCACAACATTACAGAGGAAACAGCCAACCGGCAGAGAGGGGAACCAGTCATTCAGCTGCACAACCAGCACATGAAGTTAAAGGCTGGTTCCCCACACCTGAAGAGGACCTAATGGGACGAAGTCCACGAGTGCCAAGGTCTCTCCAAATCTACAATTCAAGTCTGGGACTTCCAGTGTCTTTCTGGGGTACAGACTTCACTCGTAGTTCCTACTACTACTACTACTAATAATCACTGTTATCAACTTTATCATAATATTTTAATTATTACATTATAATCTGCAAAATTAGACAAAAAATTAAAATTTTCATCCAATTTCACAAAAAGAAAGTGAACCACCTGTCTCAGCTGCTGCTTCTAGCTTTAGTCTCTGGTTGTGATGAATGACTGGTTTCCCGTCTCTGCCCTAATACAGAAACACTTTTACCCACCTGTCACGTAATAAACTCATCTATAGCATTCCGCCCACAAACTGATGGATGCAACAAATCAGCGATAAAAAACGTTATATCAAAGCGATGCATTAGCGTAAGTTTTTTTTCATTGCCACCGATACATGAACACACAAGCGAGCAGCTACGCTAAGCAACGTCTCCACGGAGAAACTAGTGCCGGCTCAAAATCTACAGCGAGCTGAAACACAAGAGGAATATAACCACAGGACAGTAGTTTGGTCTTTTTTGATCAAAATAAATGATTTAAAGTATACTTTCATATATAAGCAATAAAAATAAGCAACATCTCAATACTCCAATAATAACTCTTACACTGATATTGTGCTCATTGGTATTCTATCTCTTTACAGATATTTATATTCATTCTTATAGATATTTATATATATACTCTTTTTTCCTGTTTTGCGTTCCCTTGCCGTAGGAACTGTTTGCCACCTCCAGTTGTCGACAGTGCAAAGACCTCATTGATATGGTTCATGAACGGAGACCTGATGCCCGTGGCTGATGGGAGTGTGAAAGGCAATAAGTGGTCAATGAGGAGATGGTATGAGGCTGACGGTTAGCACCACAGAAGGTCCAGAGGACAATCCACTTCAGAAGGTCAGGAGGGACGATCGACTCCAGAAGGTCAGGAGGGACCATCCGCTTGGAAGGTCAGGAGGAATGATCCTGTCCAGAAGATGGAGAGAGAACATCCACTCCTGGAAGAACAGGAGGGCTTAGGGTTACTCCATATGGTCGGGAAGGACATTCCAGTCCAGATGATCAGGTGGGGAGGATCCATGATGATCATTGGCCGATCCACTTCAGGAAGCACTTCAATGGAAACAGAGTTTAGAGTCAAACTCTCGTCCAATAAACACTGAGCTGATGGATGACGGATAGACAGACGGGACCCTGTAAAATACCGGAGGTCTTCCAGTCAGGAGACACTGTTTTTTTTTTCCCCAGATGTGGATCGTGGTCCAGAGTTAGTTTGGATTTAGCGGCACAGATGTAGATTAGCTCGAGTCCAGAGTGTAGATCAGTCAGTGTTATGGTTTTAATCCAGTCCCTAAAGGTTCTGAGTGGTTTAAAACAATAACGGTTGAAACCAGTTGAGTTCTGATCCAAACAGATCCAGACCAGTCTAAGGGTAGCTGGTCACTGCAGCCTGCTTCTGGGCTAGACGTCGCAGTTCCTCTCTGATAGCCTTTATAAGAGAGGCAGAGGTGTGGGCAGAGGGTGAGGCGTCCTCCGGCGGGTACTCTGGAGTTGGTGAGGTCAGGAGAAGAGGCGGTGCTGATGGGTCCCGCAATGAGGAGCTGGGCATCTGGAAAACAGAGGAAGATGAGAACTCAGGAAACGACAGCACCTGTAGAGAGAAGGGAGAGAGGGTGAGGAGAGTGAGGGATAGACAGAAATAAATCCAGATAAAAGACAGGAAAAGAAACTGCAACGAAATTAAAGTCAGTTATTTGTTCTTGTTTAACAACCACCATCCTTGGCGCATTCCTAACTTAGGTTTGTGAAAGACACTTCATGATCCAAACACGCCAATCGTTAGTCATTTCAGTATTTTTTCCACTTCGATTCTGACTGAAGAAAATTGAGTCTGATTTTCCACCTGAGAATTAGCAGGGTCTTGAGGCAAGAACTGGTCTTGACCTGTCTCGACTGATTTAGACTGTTCTAGTTCTTGAGCAGCAGTGGTCTCAAACAGTCAGTACTGGTACAGACTCTTCTAGACTGGAGTGGTCTGGTCAGGACTGGTCTAAACATTTTGGTTAGCACTGGTCTAGTCAGGACTGTGGACCCACCACCTGCTTTGCAAGCTGCGTGACAGGCAAAGCATGCTGACCCCTGGCATTGCAGGTCAATGTGGAATTGAACCTCTTTGGTGGGGAAGGATCAAGAGCTGGAGTGGGATGTGCAGCGGTACCAACTAGATGTACTGTAGTTGGGTACACCTCACGCAGGTCTCGCTCCAGGAGAGGGTCTGGATTCTCTCTGTCTCTGAGGGGAATGTTCTGACTGCTGTGTGGCCATTAGGAACACCATGTTAAAGCATAAGGTCGTTCGTGAGTGTACTTGGTACCAGAACACCTTAGGCAAAGATCAATAATAGACTTTGCGGTCATATCATCAGACCTGGGGCCATATGTCTCGGACACTCGGGTAAAGAGAGGAGAGAGTTAACTGATCACCACCTGGTGGTGAGTTGGATCAGATGGCGAGAGAGGCTGCCGAACAGACCCGGTAAACCTAAATGTATAGTGAGGGTGCACTGGGAATGTTTGGTGGAGGCCCCTGTTCATGGGATTTTCAACTCCCACCACTGGAAGAATTGAAAAGAGGTTGCAGACATGGCTTAAGTGGGCCATGTTCAAAGCCTCCATTGTAGAGGCGGCTGGCAGGAGCTGTGGTCAGAAGGTCATTGGTGCTTCTGTGTTTGGGGAGACTATGGAGATGGACTTTCAGTTGGCCTCAAGAAAGTTCTGGCAAAGAGTTCAGTGGCTCAGTCTGTGCTCAGCCGGGGGTGGGGATGGGGGGGGTGACTGCTAACCCAGACTGGGGATATTGTCTGAAGACTATCTATGTTCTAACCCTCACCTATGATCATGAGCTGTAGGTAGTGACCGAAAGAACAGTGAACTCACACTCTCTCTGCTGGCTCCTGGTCTAGACAGATCCTGGTCTGAGTGCTGCTGGTTCCAGCTGGAGCCAGTGGGACCAGACATGCTGCGACCCACCCCAGGGTACACACCAATCTGACTGGACAAACCCACCTGGGTTAAGTGGTGGAGTTGCGCACCTGGAGATAAAAAAATCAATCAGCAAATGTAACAGATTTTCAGCCCCCATCTGGAGGACTAGGTTTCAGATGTGTGTAGGAGGGGGGTCAGGCTGAGTATGGGTATTTCATTACTCTTTAATGACAGCAGGGTACCAACAAAAACTACTGATATCACAAATATGGTGACTTTACCAAAATGCTACATATGTGGAATCATGTTTGAATCAATAATGCATCCAGATGACCTTACCTGTGCTGCCCCCTACAGGTCGCGGTCTAGATGAGGAGGGGGGGTCCTCATACTGCCCCCTGCTGGAGTAAACAGACTCCTGCAGCTGGTCCCCAGTAGACACATACCCTCCTGAGCTCAGGCCCTGCCTGGATAAAACACAGTAGAGAATCAGCACATGTTCAGGTCCAGCCCACAGACCTGGACCTAGTTTTAAGTGTACTGACCTCTGCAGCAGGCCCTGCACTGAGGTGGGAGACATTCCCAGCTCTGCGTATCTCTGCAGAAACAGGGAGAGAAGAAGAAAATGAAAACTGAACATGAGGTCATGACAGAAGGAAAATGGCCTCAGCTGCAGGACGACACACTCACTGCAGAAAAGGGGCTGTGAGAGGGGGCTGCTGGGTAAGAGCCCCACTGCCTGCCAGCGGGGCAGGCCTGGGGGGAGGGGCTGGGCAGGGCAGGGCTTACCCCGCTCACCCCGGCGCTGCCCTGCGAGGAGGGCGACACCAGGGCAAAGGCGTCATCCAGGAGGGAGTGCATCTGCTGCCGCGCCTCCTCGATAGAGGGCTGGGGGGGCATGTAGGGTGGTGGGGCCGGGGCAGGATCAAACACCTCGTCGGTAGGAGAGGGGCTGCCATGGTCTGGGGGCAGGTCAGGGTCCGACTACATAAGAGAGGAAAGAGAGAATACCAAGTAGATGTTAAGTATGGCCCAGATCTAATATTACTATCAATACAGTTATTCTAGGTCACGAATGTTCACTTTTATGCTGATGATACGTCAGTGTTTCCCATTAAAGGCAGAGACTACGGCGGCATGCCACAGTCTAATTTTTTCCTATCTAGGACATCTCAGACTCAGCTTGTCAGCCTCAGCTGACATTGAACCACAATTCCCTTGACCCCCAATCTACAGTGACGAATTAAATACCAAAGCTTCACCAGAATAAAATGCTCCCCGTAGATCCTGAGCACCACCAAAAGGACAGACCTGTACTGCTAATTGGTTAAACACACTGAATATACATGTCTCACCATGTAGGCCACGTTGTTGAGTCCTGGGTATTTCCTGTAGGTGGCGCTCTGATCGGTGAGCAGCCTGTCTCTGTCTGTATCGGGAAGACTTCCAGGTCCTGGCTGAGCCCGCCGACCCCGAGGAGAGTGCCTCCCCCTGGAAGGACAAACATGCAGACCATATGGAAAGTATGGTAAATCTGGTCTTGCAAAGTCTTTTCAGATATCAATCGTCATAATGACAAAGCCCAGGCTCACATTGAGACAGTTTTATTGTTTTACTAAAATAAGAAAGTAGTTTTTCCTTTACCGTCCCTGGTTTATAAAATAATATAGAAAATAATAAAAGCTATATGACATAATTTCATTCTACAGTTACATGAAGACCATCAGCTCAAGTCTGACCTCCTCCTGGAGTCGCTGGGGGTGGGGGGTGAGTTGGTGTCGGCCTGAAGGATGCAGTCCATGTGGTCATGGGCGGAGCTATAGAGACGCTGCGCCACGTCGCCCTGCACCGGTCCGTCTCCGAATGCGTCCATGATGTCGTCCATGGAGGGAAACTCACACTGACCCCGCCTCTTAGCACGCTGACGAAGTTTGTTCCGGTGATGCTCGATCTCCGACTTGTGTCTCAGCGCCACCTGCAAGAGTACAGGTGGACAGAGGAGGGTCGATGATGTCAGACAAGGTTAAAATGTCCTAACGGCGAGCAGTGAGAGTGTGAGCGTCTCACCTCTGTGTTGACCTTCTCGGTGAGGGTTGGGCTCATCTGGGACTGGGCGTGCGGCGGGCTCGGCCGCGGCTGCATGGCGATCAGCTGCACCTTGTTGGCCTGGCGACGCGTGCCATCAGAAGAGCCGCGAGACAAGCGGTCGACGTGGTCGAAGATGGAGGATGAGGACAGAAGCTCGTCTGGACCGCTGCCTGATGGAGCGAATGGACGAAGAAAGGTCAAAGGTCAGAAAAGAAGATGATTGTAATTCACTTCGGTTCACTTCCACGGTATGGATCCGTGTGGGAAACATTCAGTAACCATGGCAACAGGTTAAAGCAACCACAGTGGCAGAAAGAAGGGTTAGGTTAATCTTTACTCCACATTGGAGAGGAGGTCACGTGACTCAGGTCTGTTTGGCGATAATTCTGTCATCCTGATTTTCCATCCTGTAATTTTACTCCGTTGGTCTATTCTGCGATAGATAGAACGTAATATCTACTTCCTGTGTGTCCGTCCTGGAGAGCGAGCCCTCTTCTGAGGCTCTTCCTGAGCTTTCACTGAATCGACAGACAGAGAGTCAATTAATCTGACTCCACTTTCTTAGAAAAAAAGGTGAAACTAGTTCTGCATGTAAACCAGGTTCCAAACACTTGACTAGACGGCAGAAAGAGACCATAGAAATGTTACATATAAAAGTGTGATATTCCTGGAGCCCACGCCGCGTCACCTTCCCCCAAACTGACATAAAATCATGATTTCTCCAAACACAATGGAGACTAGACTTTCAGGTCGGTGTACAGGGGTCCAAAACCTGATGCAACGTGGAGCTGAAGGCGGACCGACCAGGTGGTTCAGGTAACACTGGACCTGCTGAATGTGAACCTATTTTAATTTAATTTGAACACTGAACTGGTGAGCTCATAGCGCCACCTACTGTCAGAAAGTCTGATCTGTTTTGATATAAATTTAGGCCTAAATGAATATTCAGGGGTGACATTTGTGCTATTGGAAAAATCAATTTGAAGCCCCATAATATATTAAAATGTTATCATTTATTGATTAATTAAACCTAAATTTGGGGTGAACCCCAGAATTTGTACTTGATCTGTTGAGATACTTGGAAACTATACTTGAAATGTTATTTTAAATGTGTTTAACCCCTAAAACAGAACCGAACAGAAACCCCACAATATATTCCACTACATTAATTATTACTGGACTTTACACTTTAAGGTACAAATTAAAGGCTATCTGGGATGTTATTTTGCATTTTAAGTGTTTTTTTACACAATTCCTGCAGAAAACCATTTTAAAAACCGTAGTATGTCCATCAATGTTTCCATGAATTCGTCCAGATCAGGTAAACCTGTTCAATATTTGAATACTGGAGGAGAATCCCTTAAAAATCTTGTTAATTAGCATCTGAAAATATTTCAGAGCTCTACCGTGAACCAGAATCCCTGAACCTTGAAGGCAGCGCTGGAGAACCAGCACGATGCTGAAAGTTTCCAACCAGGACCGAATGAAATGATTGGCCGTGGTCTTTACAGTCCGGATTGTTTTCCTGTTTGTGACGGATTTATTCAATTTCACTAAAATATGCTTCTGAAATAAAGCGCCTGCAAAAGAACCTTAATCTCATCAATAATGGATCCATCGTTTGGACCTCTGGCACACAGGAGTAAATTCCGCATTCATTTCAGGGATTGTTTTCTTTCTCGTTCTGCAGCTGCCACATGTTCCACTTTCCTCACATCTAGTCTCTAGCTGCAGAGCTCTGAAATGACTCAATGAATACTTTAATAATGTTTAATTACACGACTACCAGAAGCCTTTGACCCACTGTTGATATAAAATATTGATCAGGGGGAGATAACGTACCCATCTTGTTCCTCCCTTCAGTCCAGAAGCATCAAAAAGAACAGACAGAAGTTAAAAGAGCTTTCTTTCACTCATTCGTCCTCATTCATCCCTCCATCTCTCTCAGGTCTAACCTCACACACACACACACACCAATCAGACAGCTCAGATGATGATGATGATGTCACAGTGTCTGACCATTTTTGGGAGTCTTCCTATGCTGTTTGCCCTCACTGGGCGTGGCCACAGGTCGGGTGCTTTCTTCTGCTGATTCTCTGCCGCTGGATTGGTCGCTGCCTAACGAGTCGCCGTCTGACGGGCTGAGCCTGACGGACGGGAGACAGAAGTTTCATTTATTGTGTCCTGTGTCAAATATCTCATCCTTCTCTGAATACAGTTTTAGCTTCTTTCTCTTATTTTGTGGGAAATGTCGTTTAGTTCAGCTGCTCTGACGTGGTTTCACAGTGTGTCAGTAAACGAGTCCAGGTGACTTCATACATACATCACAATAGGTACGTACCTGGATTCACTTCGACAAAGTGACAACAAATGTAACTTGTTATAAAAAGAGGACAGATGAAGCTCCAAGTCACAGTTACAACTGAGCAGAGTGAATATTTGTACGTATACTGAAAAACTTTTGGATTGTCCAAACGTGACCTACCTGCCCCTGCGGCGGCTGGACCGGGCTGCCTTGGTGGATGATCCTTTAGATTTAGGGGTGTTGAGGTCTCCGCCGTCGGAGGGAGTGGCCTCTTTGACGGGGACGGGCAGCGGACCGGGCTCCTGGATCACCATGATGTCGTCTTTACTGTGCTGACCCAGGTGGAGCTTGGCGAAGTCGAAGCCTTTCACACTGGGAGCCTGAAGCTGAGAGAGGATCAGCTGTTAGTGGGAACGTTTAAGACACAAAGTGGTCATGACTTCCTGTTGACCTCTGACCTTCTGCCTCTGCTGGATGGTGTTAATGGCGTCCGGCTGGAACTCCAGCTTCTCGGAGCCACACAGCTTCCAGTAGAGGATTATGATGATGAAGACGGCCAGCAGGACCGGGACGACCACGCCGACGATCAGCCACACGCTGCTGCTCTGAGTCTCTGCTGGAGGGACAGTCAGAGTCTCCACAGCTGGAGACAGGTGGGAGACAGGTGAGAGACAGGTGGGAGACAGATGGGAGACAGGTGAGGGACAGATGGGAGACAGGTGGGAGACAGGTTAAAGACAGGTGGGAGACAGATGGGAGTCAGGTTAGAGACAGGTGAGGGACAGATGGGAGACAGGTGAGAGACAGGTGGGAGACAGGTTAGAGACAGGTGGGAGACAAATGGGAGTCAGGTTAGAGACAGGTGAGGGACAGATGGGAGACAAGTGAGAGACAGGTGGGAGACAGGTTAGAGACAGGTGAGGGACAAATGGGAGTCAGGTTAGAGACAGGTGAGGGACAGATGGGAGACAGGTGAGAGACAGGTGGGAGACAGGTTAGAGACAGGTGGGAGACAAATGGGAGTCAGGTTAGAGACAGGTGAGGGACAGATGGGAGACAAGTGAGAGACAGGTGGGAGACAGGTTAGAGACAGGTGGGAGACAAATGGGAGTCAGGTTAGAGACAGGTGGGAGTCAGGTTAGAGACAGGTTAGAGACAGGTGGGAGACAGATGGGAGTCAGGTTAGAGACAGGTGGGAGACAGGTTAGAGACAGGTGAGACACAGGTTAGAGACAGGTGAGGGACAGGTGAGGGACAGGTTAGGGAAAGGTGAGGGACAGGTTAGAGACAGGTGGGAGACAAGTGAGACAGGTGAGGGACAGGTTAGAGACAGGTGAGGGACAAATGGGAGTCAGGTTAGAGACAGGTTAGAGACAGGTGAGGGACAGGTTAGAGACAGGTGAGGGACAAATGGGAGTCAGGTTAGAGACAGGTGAGGGACAGGCAGGAGACAGTTGAGGGACAAGTTAGAGACAGGTGAGGGACAGGTTAGAGACAGGTGGGAGACAAGTGAGACAGGTTAGAGACAGGTGAGGGACAGGTGAGGGACAAGTTAGAGACAGGTGAGGGACAGGTGAGACACAGGTTAGAGACAGATGAGGGAAAGGTTAGAGACAGGCAGTAGACAGGCAGTAGACAGGTGGGACACAGGTTAGAGACAGTTGAGAGACAGGTGAGAGACAGGTTAGAGACAGGTGGGAGACAGGTTAGAGACGGGTGAGGGACAGGTGAGGGACAGGTGGTAGACAGATGGGAGACAGGTGAGACACAGGTTAGAGACAGGTGAGACACAGGTTAGGGACAGGTGAGGGACAGGTGAGACACAGATTAGAGACAGGTGGTAGACAGGTGGGAGACAAGTGAGGGACAGGTTAGAGACAGGTGAGGGAAACAGGTGGGAGACAGGTGAGGGACAGGTTAGAGACAGGTGGTAGACAGATGGGAGACAGGTTCGAGACAGGTGAGGGACAGGTTAGAGACAGGTGAGACACAGGTTAGAGACAGGTGAGGGACAGGTGGGAGACAAGTGAGGGACAGGTTAGAGACAGGTGGTAGACAGATGGGAGACAGGTGGGAGACGGGTTAGAGACAGGTGAGACACAGGTTAGAGACAGGTTAGAGAAAGGTGAGGGACAGGTTAGAGACAGGTGAGGGACAGGTGGGAGACAATTGAGGGACAGGTTAGAGACATGTAAGGGACAGGTGGGAGACAGGTGAGGGACAGGTTAGAGACAGGTGAGACACAGGTTAGAGACAGGTGAGGGACAGGTGGGAGACAAGTGAGGCACAGGTTAGAGACAGATGGGAGACAGGTGGGAGACGGGTTAGAGACAGGTTGGAGACAGGTGAGACACAGGTTAGACACAGGTTAGACACAGGTGAGGGACAGGTGAGGGACAGGTGGGAGACAATTGAGGGACAGGTTAGAGACAGGTGGGAGACAGGTGAGGGACAGGTTAGAGACAGGTGGTAGACAGATGGGAGACAGGTTAGAGACAGGTGAGGGACAGGCAGGAGACAGTTGAGGGACAAGTTAGAGACAGGTGAGACACAGGTTAGAGACAGGTGGGAGACAGATGGGAGACGGGTTAGAGACAGGTTGGAGACAGGTGAGACACAGGTGAGACACAGGTGAGGGACAGGTTAGAGACAGGTGAGAGACATGTTGGAGACATGTGAGACACAGGTCGGAGACAGGTGAGGGACAGGTTAGAGACAGGTGGTAGACAGATGGGAGACCGGTGGGAGACAGGTTAGAGACAGATGAGACACAGGTTAGAGACAGGTGAGGGACAGGTGGGAAACAGGTGATCAGCATGAAGCATCATCTCTGGAAAGAGTCGTGCTGAACTCAGTTAGTTGTGATCAGTTGGTTCACTGTGTTCTGTGTTCTGAGTAGATCCTTGACTCACGTTGGGCGAGCGGTCTCTGGACTCGGTGTCCGAGGACGATGGCGGCTCTCTGAAGGTCCAGACGGTTCAGGGTGGCCGCTGTGACCTCGGCTGGTACCCGCTCACCACCTGGACCCTCGACAAAATAAAAGACCTCCAGGGAGCGCTCCGGCCCCGAGAGCCTTGCCACCCGCACCACCTGAGACACGACGAGGGGACAAATCAGACATCATGAACAGATGATCTCAGAAACACTTTACTTTCTGTCACTCCAAAGCCATGTGTCTTATCCACTGCACACCTGTCGATGTGTATACCTGTGTGATGTGTGTGTATATCTGTCTGATGTGTGTATGCCTGTGTGATGTGTGTGTATCTGTTTGATTTGTGTATACCTGTGACATGTGTGTATACCTGTTGATGTGTGTATACCTGTGTGATGTGTGGATACTTGTCGATGTGTGTATACCTGTCTGATGTGTGTGTATATCTGTCTGATGTGTGTATGCCTGTGTGATGTGTGTGTATACCTGTCAGTGTGTGTATACCTGTCAGTGTGTGTATACCTGTGTGATGTGTGTGTATACCTGTCAGTGTGTGTATACCTGTGTGATGTGTGTGTATATCTGTCTGATGTGTGTGTATCTGTTTGATTTGTGTATACCTGTGACATGTGTGTATATCTGTGTGATGTGTGTGTATATCTGTCTGATGTGTGTATGCCTGTGTGATGTGTGTGTATATCTGTCTGATGTGTGGATACCTGTCGATGTGTGTATACCTGTTGATGTGTGTATACCGGTCTGATGTGTATATACCTGTGTGATGTGTGTGTATACCTGTGTGATGTGTGTGTATATCTGTCTGATGTGTGTATACCTGTGTGATGTGTGTGTATATCTGTCTGATGTGTGTATGCCTGTGTGATGTGTGTGTATCTGTTTGATTTGTGTATACCTGTGACATGTGTGTATACCTGTGTGATGTGTGTATACCTGTGTGATGTGTGTGTATACCTGTCTGATGCGTGTGTATACCTGTGTGATGTGTGTGTATATCTGTCTGATGTGTGTATACCTGTCGATGTGTGTATACCTGTTGATGTGTGTATACCGGTCTGATGTGTATATACCTGTGTGATGTGTGTGTATACCTGTGTGATGTGTGTGTATATCTGTCTGATGTGTGTATACCTGTCGATGTGTGTATACCTGTTGATGTGTGTATACCGGTCTGATGTGTATATACCTGTGTGATGTGTGTGTATACCTGTGTGATGTGTGTGTATACCTGTGTGATGTGTGTGTATACCTGTCTGATGTGTGTGTATACCTGCAGACTGTTGTTGCCCACAGCTGTTGCTCTCCTCCAGCGCCTCCTGCTGGACCCCTGCAGTCCCTCCTCCAACAGCAGAGCCAGACGTCTCTCCAGACGAGCTTTAAAGCTTCTCTCAGCCACCAGCTGCTCCTGAACTCCCAACAGCACTGATAAAGGTACAGGTACAGGTACAGGTGAGTCTCAAACTAACGGTATTCAACACTATGATCTAGTATGCATTGGGAACTATTTTCCACCTTAGGACACCTCCCATCTATCTTTACACCAAGTCAGTTTTAATATCACAAGTCACATTTTACAGTCTGTCCAACATACATCACCCTCCATCCTCAGACCCTCAATTCAGATCTGGAAAACTCTTTAATGGGTAACAATGTTAGAAAGATCAGGAAGAGCAACAGAGGAGAGAGAGGGAGAGAGTGGGGGGCATGCACCGAGGTGAGTTCTCACCTGTACGGACCCAGGTGGAGCGCAGGTGGTGAGACGTGTTCAGCTCAGGGTAGTGGAAAGCTGTGGTACACAAACATACATTAACACACATTTAACGGTTTTAACTCAGTCAAGGCCAGTTTATACTTCGGCGTGTCTGCGGAACAGTGAAATTACTAAAATGCAGAAACAAGAGAAGGCGTCGGTGGAGATGGTATGTACGACATTTGAACCGGCAGAGACAGAAGGACAAGCTGGAAATGCGTAGGAGGAAATGATGCAACCAAGCCGCCCAATCACAGCTCTTGTGGTCTGCGTCGTCACGACATGTAGGTACAGTTTTGGGGAGGTGCGTCAGGCTTCGGTGTAGATTTGGCGCAGAAGAATAAACTGGCCTTAATACAGCTAATTTTTGTGTGAAACGTTAAAAGCAGTTAAGCAGTTATGACATGTTTGTATGTCAACCACGTATTTATATATTTAACAAACATGTTACTGACAGTAAAATGAGTTTGTTTTAACACGTGCAAACTCCATGTGAGTGAGTCTCGTACGTTCTGCGACCTGCAGGGCAGGAAATCCCACATAGAAGCTGAACTCGACCAGGTTGAGCTTCCTCAGGTGTTCGCTGACCTCTGACCCCGGCAGGTAGTCCCGTCCATCTCGCACCGCAAAGGTGATGTCGACGGAAACCTTTTGCTCACCTGCCGACCGGATCACGCCCATGGTGATGTTCAGGAGCTGGAGAAGACACAGATAAACAGCGGCCATTCATTCTGAAGCTGGGTGACTATTTATAAAGTTAATCGTTATCGTTACATTCGAATACAAAAGCCTCTAAATCTAAAGTGTGTAAAGTCTATATACTTTCAGCTCTAGCAACAATTTTAATAATTCTAATTATTAGACAATTAAGTGATGAAAAGGTCATAGAGAAAATATTTATTAGTTGCAGGTATGACAGACTCAGACTCACCTGTACGGTGACGTTTCCTGCCTCGTGTGATTGTCTCCGCGTCTCGGCGTACGCCATCATCAGCCCTCTCTCAATCCTTTCGCTGAAGTTACAGACTCTGACGTCGACGTGGGCGGGGACAAACTGCAGCACAGTGTGGACCTGGTACCTGAGGTCAGGTACGGTGTAGAGTGGTGACACGCTGGGGATGGGGCCGGAGCCGCGTGGTGGTTGGCGGAGGGCGTTGATGACGGACATGGCGGTGAAGATCAACGGTCCTGACACGACACGGAAGGCAAAACTGGACGGAGTTCTCAGGAACTGATGTAGAAGCAGAGACGTGACAGTAAAGGTTACTAGAGTAAACTACAGTTAAGCTGAAATAAAGTCAGTGTTCTGATCTCTTTCTGTACTACAGGAGGAGGAAACGTTAGAAACTCAGGGATGAGTCTGCAGTGTGAGAGCAGGTCTACGCTGCTGGTTGTGCTGGATGAGGTTTGTACCTGAAGCTCCACTGAGCGGTTGAACTCTCTCTTCAGAAGATCTCTGACTTGAGTGAAACCTGCCGATGAACCTTTGGAACTGACTGCAGGACAGAAAGACACTGATCAGCTGATGGTGACACGGCAGTACGTGGTGCTACAATCACCTGACGGTCGGTGGTCTTACCTACTCTGACCAGGTACATCTCTGGCTTGGTTACGTTACACAGGTACTGTCTGGTGGGCGGGGTCTGACCCACCCTGGGTGTAGTGACTGGGGGGGCTCTGGTCAGGCTGATGGCTGTGATCTGGGTGGTGGTGGTGATGCCAGAGGTGGTGGTTGTCACCTTGGTCGTGGTGGTGGTGATCCTAGTGGGTGGAGGCTTCACTGGCTTCTCTATGACCACGGGAGGCCTTTCTGGTCTGTCGGGGCGAGTGGGCGGACCCAGCGGGGGAGGGGGAGGCACCCGGCCAGTGGTGTTGGAAGGGGGACGAAGAGGGTGTCTGCCCGGGACTGCGGCGTGGTCTTTAGGTTTTTGAGGAGAGGGGGTGGAAGGAGTTTTGATGATGGTTGACTTATCCTCACCTGTGACAGAAGGTGAAAGGGTGAGGGGAGGGGTGGGCCCCGCCGGTGGAGGCTTGGGCTCCTGTCCTGGAGGAGGGCCGGAGCTCGGGGATGGAGACGGAGGGGAACGGTGGGTCAGGGTTGTTGTGGGACTGATGTAAGGTTTAGAGTCGGTCGGGTTGACCCGGTCCTGGGCTCTTTCCCTCGCCCTCTCTCTCTCCCTCTCCAGCAGATTGGTGTAGTACTCCAGACTGTTCATGTCCGGTAGCAGCAGCTCAGTTGGCTCCAGAGGCATCATGTCTTCTAGGTCGTAGTCCTCGTCCCAGGCGGGGAAGGCGTCTGGATGGGTGGGGCGAGTGTGCAGGGGGATGCTGGGGGTGGAGGAGGAGGGTGAGAGAGATAGGCGGGAGGAGAGGGGGAGGGTGGGACGGGCAGGGAAGGCAGTGTCATAGGAGACCCAGTCCTCCCCAGGGTCCTCGTCGTACGGGTGGTTGGGCAGTGGTGTGGCTAAGGCCAGCTCCTCACCATCAGGTACCATGAAGGACAGAGTCTCCAGGTAGTCTCCGGAGCCCCAGGCCTCCTCCAGGGAGGGGCCCTGCTCCCAGGGAGGAGGAGGGGTGAGTGTAGGCTGGGTGTGTGGGGGGAGGGGTGGGGGGAGACTAGGCGACAGGAGGTCTGGAGGTCTCAGCAGGAGGTGGATCCCCTGAGCACCAGAGTCTGATTCCTCCGCAGAGCCTGCTCCACCACTGTTACTATTGTAACCAGAGTCTGAGGGTGGGTTGGGGGCCAGGGGTCTGAGAGGGAAGAAAGAGGGTGATGATGGTGATGAAGGACGGGATGTAGACTCTTCCGTACTGTTGTAGTCCAGCACACCTGGGAGACAAAGAGAGAGAATAAATATCCCCGACCAACCAGTGGACCATGAACAAACCAGAGCATCCTGACCAACCAGAAGACCCTGACCAACCAGAGGACCCTGAAAAACCAGAGGACCTGGACCAAACCAGAGCACACTGACCAAAACAGAAGACCCTGACCAACCAGGAGACCCTGAACAACCAGAGGACCCTGACCAAAATAGAAGACCCTGACCAAAATAGAAGACCCTGAACAACCAGAATACACTGACCAATCAGACGTCCCTTAGCAAATCAGAGGTCTTTGACCAACCAGAGGACCCTGACCAATACTGAGGGGTTTCACCAACGTTGAGGGCCTGACCAAACCTAAAGACCCTGACCAAACCAGAGGGGCCTGACCAAAACAGAGGACCCAGACCAAACCAGAGGGGCTTGACCAACCAGAGGACCTAGACCAAACCAGAGGGGGCCGACCAACCAGAGGACCCAGACCAAACCAGAGGGGGCCGACCAACCAGAGGACCCTGACCAAACCAGAGGGGGCCGACCAACCAGAGGACCCAGACCAAACCAGAGGACCCTGACCAATGCTGAGGGGCCTGACCAAACCTAAAGACCCTGACCAAACCAGAGGGGCCTGACCAAAACAGAGGACCCAGACCAAACCAGAGGGGGCCGACCAAACCAGAGGACCCTGACCAATGCTGAGGGGCCTGACCAAACCTAAAGACCCTGACCAAACCAGAGGGGCCTGACCAAAACAGAGGACCCAGACCAAACCAGAGGGGCTTGACCAACCAGAGGACCCAGACCAAACCAGAGGGACCTGACCAACCAGAGGACCCTGTCTAACCCAGAGGACCCTGACCAAACCTGAGGAACCTGACCAATAATGAGTGGCTTGACCCACACTGAGGGGCCTGTCCGACCAAACCAGGGGACCCTGACCAATGCTGAGGGGCCTGACCAAACCTAAAGACCCTGACCAAACCAGAGGGGCCTGACCAAAACAGAGGACCCAGACCAAACCAGAGGGGGCCGACCAAACCAGAGGACCCTGACCAATGCTGAGGGGCCTGACCAAACCTAAAGACCCTGACCAAACCAGAGGGGCCTGACCAAAACAGAGGACCCAGACCAAACCAGAGGGGCTTGACCACCCAGAGGACCCAGACCAAACCAGAGGGACCTGACCAACCAGAGGACCCTGTCTAACCCAGAGGACCCTGACCAAACCTGAGGAACCTGACCAATAATGAGTGGCTTGACCCACACTGAGGGGCCTGTCCGACCAAACCAGGGGACCCTGACCAACCAGAGGACCCTGTCTAACCCAGAGG